AAGAAAATAAATATAAGATCTACTGGGGCAGTAGGCCCTACTTTTTCAGCATCGGGATGTTATAGAAGGCAATGTTGATATCCTTGTTGGGACTATCATCTGAGATGATTGGGGCACGGTTCTCGCCAGCCCGGTGCTCCAACACAAACCTCTTGCATGCATTCCTTAAGCATGGTTCAAACCTGAATACAACAGAAGAGGCCAGTTGTTAGAGCTTACTTTGACAGATTACAAAGGTCGCAAATTGAAGTGCAAAGTTTAGCAAAAAAATTCTATTTTCCAATTAATTAATTATGATGAAAGGACAAATAAACAGGTTCCTGAAAGCTGATAACAAACTAGTACTTTCTCCAGTCTCCACAAATCCAATCATATGTTGATTGTCCTGAATTAAATCTAACCGAGAAATCCCCAAAGGTTAATCAAATCGCCCCACCCCCATTTCCCCCACTTGGTGTCCATTCAAAGCATAACAATTCGGACCAATTTCAATCTCAAATTCGAGTAACCGAACCAGACCTGTCCCATTTACTTTCACAGATCCAGTTTCTATCAGGTCAAACCAAAATGTAAAAGTTAGTCTAGTCTCACCTGAGGTACTCCTCGGAGATGGCCTTCTGGAGGACGTCGTTGAAGCGCATGACGTGCTCAAAGTCTACGTGCATGGTAGTGGACTCCCGCGACCGCATCGCCTCCATCTCCGCCTCGTAGAACGGCTCCCCCGCACCATCCGACTCCTTGAATCTGAAGGTCCAAGAACACCATCCCCACCGCCTCAGTCAGACAGACAGAACCCTAAAAGAAGATGACAAAAAAATGGCTGCTCCGGAGGCGGCGGCGGCGGCGGCGGCGGCGGCGACTGACTCACCGCTTCAGGAACTCGAGGAAGATGTTCTCCACCCGCGCCGCCTTCTCGTCCACGTAGAACCCACTGAACGCCTCCATCACGGACGACTGCCCCTTGTGGAAGATTCAGGGTCAGGAATAGGGCTTTGGATTGGAGATTGGCACTCGCGTCTGGAGCAGGGTTTGGAATAGGGTTGGGGAAGAAGAAGCGGGGCGGCAGGTGGGGAGTGGTCTTGGCGGGAAGGAGGCGGCTGCTTGGCGCCAAATCTTCGCGCCAAAAGGGACTCCGAGCAGGTGGGTCTCGTGCACCGGGTCCGTGGACCGGAGACAGTTTTACTGTCTCTGTCACGTGGGGACCGCAGAGCGGAAGGGAAATGGCGTTCATTTCATGGGCTGAAGGAACGCTGGTGGGGCAGGTGCGGTGGGCTGCGGTGTGAAGACATAAAATGGGCTGGGATCCAATGGGCCGAAGTAAGTCTGTGACATGTTGCTGACGGGCAGGTAGCAGTAGCACACGTAGCACACCGGCATCGTGGATTTGGAAGAGCAACTCTATCTGACTCTAAATGCTACGAATAAAGATTTTGATAAAAAATACTCTTTAATACTTTATCTAAAGGTTATCTAAATATATCGATTTTTTATTTTAGAATTTTCGCTAGCCAAAAATAAAAATATGAGAATAGCTCTCTAGAATGCCCTCGAGATATAGAAAAACGGTTAGAGAGTGAAAAGATATATAGAAAAGCGACTTTTATGCAAATGATGATTTAGAGAGTGAGATTTAGAAATGCTACTGGAGATGCTCATCTAACTCTAAACATAGTTTCCCTTCAAAACCGTGCACTTACTGTAGAAACTATTACTTAGAGAATTTTTTGTAAAACATAATATTACGTTAAATAAATTTATTATTCAGTGGAATAATTTTAAATTGGACACATCATTTAAGAAGTTCGAAGAAATACTATTTCAAGCATTATATCTAAATATTCTGTTCTAGTGATTCACACAAGAAATGTTGGTACTTAGTAATAAATATATGGAAGTTGCTTTATCAGTCACTTAAAATTGTTGCACGTCATTTGTTTAAATTCTTGAATTAGTTTTTCTTAAATTGGTGAGTGTGCTGGAAAGGGAAAAGGCGGCAATGTATATATCAAATCAAAAAGAAAAAAAGCGTAATAAAACTCGTGGGTCTTGCTTTTATAGTTTTCGCCCACCACTCGCCACCGCAGAAGGGCCATACTCGAGGACTGATTGAGGCACTCAACGGTGGATTCCAAGTTATATAAAAAAAACTGGATTCCCGGAATCCTAGCCGCCCACTTTCTATTTATTTAATCGGAAATTGTTTTCTAGTTCAGACATGATGTTTCGTTGGAACACATAACATTCTAGAAGTAGATCAACTTTTCGCTTCATTGTTGCATCGTTAATTTGTCATATGTTCCATACATCAAACTGTTTTGCTTGTGCGTGGAAAAAACTAATATATTTTCGTAAAAATCAATGACTAAATAAATTTAAATAAAAAAATACAAACTATGTACTATGGTGATTTCGTTAATCTTAAGATTTATCTCTAGTATTTCGAAAGTGTCTATAAAGATAAAGCGTGTGCACCCATTTGTTTAAAGGAGTAAGTGTACATGAGTGTTTGCGTATACTTGCATGTGTACTCCTATTGGAGAGAAGTTCGATGCAAGCAACCATGAGGGTGATTAATGCTGGGGAGGCTTGCATTCATGATCGGGTAGTGACAGGGTCCATTCAATCTGTAGCCAACTTGGCGTGTTTGTTTCCATTGGAATAGGGACTGCATACTAAATTTTAGTCCCTTTGAATCAAATAGTAGGGATTAAAAGAGAAAATAGAGACTAATTGGTTGAAGTCCCAAAAGAAGAGGCTTATTGGGACTTATGGGCCCAATTTGACACCCCTTGCCCCTAATTGCTCCCATTCCCGAACCCTCAGCGCCGCACTCGCCCTCATTCGCCTATCTCGAAACCCTGAGCACCACAGTCGCCCTCTCGCTTCCTCGCGCACTCTACCTCACTCGCTCCCTCGCCGCCGCGCAGTCGCCCACACGCTGCCGCTGCCGCTCCCCCTCCTACCCACACGGCACCCGCCATGGACGGCTACGGCAACAACTACCGGGATTACTTCTCCTGTGTTTGATTTGGTGCTATCTGCTATGGTGAACTGGATTCATGTGGTCATGTACTCCTGTGTTTGATTGGTTGAGGAAAATAGAGAAGTAGATGTAGTGGCAAAGGCTACACGGCTCCATGGGCCACCGTTGCGGGTAAGCTAGAGCTCGTCAGTTGCCACTGGCTATGAAGCCCGAGGCCAGATCTCTGTGCAGGGAGAGTGGGCCCAACCCTTGGTGCAGTCGAGGAGGGAGCTCGAGGCCAAATCTCTGTGCAGGGAGAGTGGGCCCAACCCTTGGTGCAGTTGAGGAGGATGGTGAGGGGGTAGAGGGTGAGAGGCAGCAGTGGTGGTGCGGGGAAGAAGATGTGAGAATGGATTAAAAATGATTAGGACCCATAACCGTTATGGTATGTATACTCTCTTTTCGAAGGGATGGTATCTATATTTTGTCTATAGTCTAGGTAGATATGCCACATAGACACTATAAAGAGCAAACTTAGTTTAACTATTGCAAGGCTTTTCTGTCTCTCGTATCTCTCTTTTCTACGTGGCTATATCCTACAGAGAGCACTATCGACGATCCATTGAGACTGCCATACTACAATGTAAAATATATGCTTAAGGTGAGAGAATAAATAAGCACCTATGTAGGAGCTGATGAGGATGCCCCAAACATGCATACTCCCTCAAGTATCAACCATTCACCATCCAACATAAAATGATACAAATCAAGGGCCACTTAGACGAGTCATGCCATGAAACTACAAAAGTAGGTGAATTCATTCCTAACTGTTTAATTTGATTATATTTTATTTCTAAGGATGTTATACCACCTACTATGTGTTATGTAATGCCCCAAAGTCTAAACGACTAAGATCCACTCTGTACGTTGAGTGAACCACAATTGTCACCGTTCCACTTACACTTTCGTTCTCGCTTTACATAAAAGGATTACTCTAGAAGCCGTATATGTTGGCTTAACCCACCTTTAACAACCAAATATGGGACTAAACCCTCCATAATGTCTTATTAACATGCACATAAGCCACTATAGGCCAAATTCCAAACTAGGTTGAATGTCACATGTTCTACATTGATGGAACTTAGGTTGACATGTGAAGAAGCGGAAGATACTTGGCCTAAGGATCAAACGCAGTGCTACAAACAGACCGGTCTGATGAGGACGGACGACCAAACTAGTCTGACAATGCACCCACAAATAACTTGCGATAACTCTTGATTCCCGATGGCTCTAGAGGTCCATGAGTATTTGATAGAAAGCTTATCGAGTCCAGCTTCCAATGCAACAAACCTTGACTAGAAGGTTAACAGTCTTCTCAAGTCTGACAATACTGTCCTAGAGAAGATGCTATAACTCTTGATTCCCAAAGCCTTTGGAAATCCACGAGTACTTGATGAAAAGCTTATCAAGATAACATTCTAATGCAACAAACCTCGACTAGATTGGACTTCCCAAGATGGAACAATCGACAAATTACTAAAGACTGCTCCAAATCGAATTTGCTGTCGGGTATACTTCATGGAAACAAATGGTATGCACTGACACACACACACACACTTATGAAGTATGAACATAATCTATTAAGTAAGAAGACCTTCGATTTATTAAGTAAGAACAGAACTCCAATGTAATTTAACTGTAATTACGACTTGTAACCAGACAAACTTAAACAATGTTTTGAAAAAGTGAGGAAAATAACTAAATGCATCAAACTTAGCCGTCACTTATAATACTTGTACAGTAATTTTGAGTGACAATTTATAGCATAATAAAAGAAGCCAAATGTGGATCAAAACCTTTTCAACACATAAAACAACAAGAATAATATAATTTGTCTAAAGAAACAAATGTAGAATATTTTATTTCCCATGCTACATATCCAATTACAATGTTGTGTGTATGATCAACTAATAAAAGAGAAGAGAAGTAATACAATATAAATTTGACAAATTAAATATAGTTTGTTCCTATTTTATGATCAAAGGCCCTGCAATCCTACATAAAATAGAATTATTAAAGGAACAGATATTAGCATTCCAATGATGACCCTGCAAAGGACCAACAATAAGATGGTTAACCAAGAAATAATAACAAAACTATGCACAAATGAGTTGTAGCACTCAAATGAATTCTTACGCTGTGCTGAGCACGTCGGGATGCAATCCATATTCCTTTGCAAACATAAAGGAGGTAATCGATTGTGGTACCGCAGCCTGCAGAATGACCACACGAGCAAGTGTAATTATTCAAGTAAGTATTGGTACAATCTGAAAACGAGATACTAAACACAATTTTTTCCTTAGTATTGCCCCAAAGATAAATTATACCACTTTCAACAGATCTGAACATTTATGGTATACCGTATACACCATCCATTCCAAATTGCAAGTTGTCCTAACTTTTTTAGATATATTATTTTTTACTATGTATCTAGAATATATATATATATATATATATATATATAGGTGTGTAACAAAAGCTATGTGTCTAAAAAATCAAAATGAACTACAATTTAGAACTGAGAGAGTACATGGTTAGAACTGGATAAATAGGAATATATATTAAAGTGTTAAATAGTATTCAGAAGGAAGAAAGTACAATCCTTAGGTACGATGTTATACTATATATTAGCTTTATTTAGTAATCCTAGTAATGGTTCCGTATAGTCGTCTTAAATTATCAGCCTAGCTGATTTTCTCTAATGTGCCAAGCAAAGGGGTCATCTATGACTGATCATTTTAATTAAATTAAGTTTTATCGTCAGAATAATTATTATTTAATTCCAAAAAATTGTTACTCACGATTTCATAATCAATCACAGGTCAAATAATTTTCTACTACTTTTGGTGTACATATGCACATTTTCAAGGGGTCCAAGCCCACGAAGATTCTCTCTACCAGGTGCCTAATCGAGAAACCAAAATGAAGAAATTATATTCTCCTCTCACCAGGCTCTCACTAGACATCATTCCCTATATATGGTTTCTAGCAAGTATCAGAGACCCTTTGAATGTACACGATCTTTTTTATGATTGGCGCAAACAAAAGGTAGATCCCAAAGGGTTTTTGATATTGTATATATACGGATAGTGCTGAACAGGTGGTGCAGCTATTTGGTGGATATTATGGCCAACAAGAAAGAAAATGGGTTTTGATAAATGCATGTCCACTCGAATCATTTCGCAAGTCTTATTCTGAAGAACGCAATGGCTATGACATTGACCGTAATTGCAAAGGTGCGAGCACATCAAGGAACACTTTTCCTAAGTTTCTCAGACACCAAAACGATCGTGATGCAGTTCTTTGCTTCTTTATTGGATAGCTATAATACTAAGATTGATTTTTGAATGAGACTGCTTTCTGCTTATGCGTGTTGATGTATTTGTACCTGTATAATGGCGACCCGAACAACGTCACCGCGTAGTCCGACAGCAATGGAACCAATGGTCATTGCGATTGGGTCGAGAACGAACTTTAGCACAAGGCCTAGAAACGTTAAGCTTGGTCCACATGGGATCAGTTTATCTTGCTGCGCCATGACCAGCCCTGAGCAAAAAAAAAAAAAAAAAAAATTTAGTCATTAGTAACATATTATATGTGGAAGGGACATTTTATACACACTTGCTTTGCTTCAGTCACAAATATAACTATATAACATTTAGACAAGCTGCTGGTTAAACTTTCAATTCTTGGGACTTTTTACTATCCTTCAAGAAGTAACAAAATTATAACTAGAATTTGGGACCTAAGTACTACAAAATGGTACCTCAAGTACCATAATTTCATAAATGTCATGTTACAATTGGTGATACCTCTTGAAGGGCATGCAAAAGATTCTTAAATATTCAACTAGTAATATATAGGGGAAAATTGCAATTTACTCTCTCCGCACAGGAATGTTATCCTGGTAACTCTCTAAACTAATATTGTGGTTCATTTTATCCCTCAAGATTTTTTTAGTTGGTCAAATCCACTTCTTAATAAAATTGTCTTTTTTTTGTTTCTCCACATATAATGTGAGTTTTTGCGTTCAAATTTATAAGGTGATAGAGAACACCATACAAAAATACATTATGATTTTTGGTCAATTATTTTTGATAGCTTAAGAATCAAATTCATAATTTATTTTTGAAAGACAACTTTAGGAATTGATTTATTCCGGGACGGGGGAGTACAAAATAACTAAATAGATATTTATGTCCCTCAACATTCCACCGCACCCAATTTCATCCTAAGAGTCTAAGACTGGCCATTGTAGGGCATGTTTCAGGTATGTTCATATATCCTTGGTGATAACAGATATAGTATGCTAAAAACCTAAAACTAGCAATAATTCTATTTTTCTTGAACAACGCAGGAGAGTTGTGTGTCATTTCATTAAGTAGAGAATAAAAACAACAGAGAAGAGGCAGAGCCTATTCCCCCAAGAGCCAATTACAAGACTCTTAGCGCTACACACTAAGAAAAACAGACGACCACTACCCAAGAAATGCCTAAACAGCTAAAGGAAGCAACCTACTAAGAAGCTGTTGCAGAGCCTTAGCTTCAGCCCAACACCCTATATAGCAAATAAACACACTTCAAAAACTACAGATAAAACTCTTTGAACACAGGGATTAGCACCCTCAAAGACACAAGCATTCCTATGCTTCTTTGAACACAGGGACTAGCACCCTCAAAGACACAAGCGTTCCTATGCTTCCACAACTCCCAGGCAACTAGAATGATGAGTGAATTCAGACCCTTTCTTATCTCTTTTGGAGTAGCCTTGATTGTTTTGCACCACCGGCTAGAAAAACGAGAATCCTCTAGATTCCGTGCAAGGGGAAGCAAGCCCAACACATGAAAGATAGCTGTCCAAACTTGCCTTTCAAAAACACAAGCAACCAGGACATGCGTGCTGTATTGTTTCATCCGATTGACCACATAGGGGACAAACAGACGGGTGAGGAAGTCCTCTTTTTGCAAGGCAGTCAGCAGTCCAACAGAGGCCCTTAATTGCCAACCAAATAAAGAATTTGCAACTGAGAGGGGCCCAAGATTTCCAAACCCGCTTCCAAGGTGCAAAAATGATGGTCCCAGTAAAAAACGCCTCGTAGGCTGATTTGCTCGAATAAGAACCAGACCCTCTAAGCCACCACTGATGTTGATCGGGATGTCCTGATGGAGGTTAAAATCATCAACCAAGTCCCAGATTTGTAGGTACTCCACCAGGACCTGCACTGTTAGAGCCCCCTTGATGTCCGACACCCATCTTCTGTTTTGCAAAGCTTGAGCCACCGTTCGTTGCTTCACTGCTCTCTTAGGAATGATCTGAATCAGGTTGGGAGCACATTCAGGTATTGTCTTCCATGGATCCAACTGTCCGACCAGAACTTGGTTGAGACACCATTGCCCACCGTGGTTTGCACAGCAACTTTAAATAAGGCCTGAGCATTGCGTTGCGTGGAACCTGAACTTGCAGTCCAGCCCAAAGACGTTCCTCACCAATCTTTTGTGCCCACAGCCTCCTTAAACGAAGAGACCAACCCACAGAACTTCAAGATTATGGATACCTAACCCACCAAAACGAATAGGCTGCTGAACTTTCTCCCATGAAACTAAACCAGTTGCCTCCATTAGCCTTCTCTTGGCCTTTCTCCATTAGAATCTTTGTATAAAAAACTCTAGGGAAGCTATTTATCACCTACAATTTTCTATGGTACTTTTCGTTCAATTTTTCTAGTGTTATCTTGTATTTTTAGCTGCAGAGAACATCGTCCATTCTAGTTGTTATGTACTATGTAACTGTAGCCACCTTATTAACTGCTATGTGCAAGAGGGAAGTTAATTAATAGTAAACACATGAAGGCTTCTCTTACCCATGCTGAACATGGCAAGTCCATTCCCGCGACGGGCCATTATTCCAATGGAATTCTTGATTATGATGGGCAGACATATGTGCAACCTGTTTAGATTGGGAAGGGAACTGGTCAGATACACACAGCGTGTAATTTACATGCATGCATTATTCCAAAATAAATCATAGTGCCTCCCGCGAAGCTTAGAGACGGCGTGCAAAGAAAACCACCTCTCTGAGAATTGTACGAGTGAAAAACAAGGGAGAAAAAACAATAGGGGGTTATCAATGAAACAAACAAATGTATTTAATTAAAATTTAAAAAGATAAAATGAGTGTGTATGTATATTGGCAGTGTGATGTAGAGGCTGGAGGTTACCTCCATTATCTAAAGAAAATACTTCCTCCCACCACAAGAACCGTTTTCCCCTGCTTCTGTCAAACTCTTAAAACATAAATAAACTATCATAATATAAATAAATAGACTGAAACTATGATTAAAATTATCTATTATACTATATAGGATTGATGTACTTGGACTTCAATGGAAAATAGTCGTGGGATTACTACTACTAATAAGTACTCAAAATTAGGTAGGAGCAGTATTTTACACTAAGTAATAGCTGCACATCTAGTGTGTACCTGTTGGCAATGCAGGCCCAAATGATGCGACGCTTGTAGGGGACCATAACGTCTAAGAGGGAGATAAATTAGGCAACTTAAAATTTTGACTCTAAACTATGATATCTTTTTTACTCTTAGCAAAACCTATGCAAAAGATAAACTATCTAAATGTGCAACTACGGTTTTGCTAGTATGTTGTTATCTCAACCGTAAAAAGGAGTAATACACATAATGTAAATGCGGAAGCTAAAGAGCAAGGTAGAGATATGCAAACTCCTGTCGACAACTCTGATATTTTTACCAAGGTATCGAGAAGCGCGCAAGCTTCTCCCAAGTCTTCGTTGGAGCCCCTCGCAAGGAATCCCTCGCAAGGGCCAAGCTCCCGGCCGGATAACTCCGTGGATAGCCCCGGGCATTCCCCACGCGCAGTGGGTCTTCGGTGTGCCATCCGGCAAGCCTCTCCCAGACCGCTCCCCGTTGTCTTCACTATCAAACTTCCGGCCGAAATATCGCGGGTCTTGTTCCCTCCGGTACATGGTGGCGGCCACACCACAAACACGGTTGGTGTGATCTCGCAAGCCTACAAGCCCCTCCGATGTACAACAATAGTGTGCGCAAGCACCGAGTGGTAAGAGGTATGCAAACCTCACTAAACACTAGGCCTCAATCTAGAGCAAGCGCATGAACGGTGGTCTAATCAACCTAAGCACTTCGCAAAGCACCTACGCTATTTACCTAATGAATCACTAAGCATTATGCAAGTGGAGATCACTAAAATAGTGTATCAACACCCAAGATATGTTTTCTAAGCTCCACTCAACTCATTTGGCCGGTTGCCTCACTGAGAAAGTAGCCATTGGGGATGAAATCCCGCTTTTCTGCTATTGACTGGATGCTGCCTTCGTCCTAACCGGAAGCGTCCGGTTGTCCCGACCGTTAGAGCGCGATCACCTGATCGGACGCTGCCAGCGTCCGGTCACATCGCGTCCGGTCGCAATTTCGTCGCTCTGGAACCTCTCTGTACTCGATCGGACGCTGTAGTCCTGCGTGCGGTCGATTTGCCGCCAACGTCCGGTCAGTACTGAATGTGTTGCCGGTGATGATGAACAGTACCATCGGTGCGTCCGGTCACTTCCAGTACTTAGTGTCCGGTCACTGCTGCTGATGCCTGCTCTTGCCGAGCCTCTTGATCGGAGCGTCCGGTCACTTCTGTGAGCTCGTTTCTTCGCGATCTTATATTCGGCTTGGTTCCTATCTTCGTGCTTGGACTTTGCTTGGTATCTTGGGTCTTCTATTATGCTTCTAGGGTCTTGCTTAAGGTATTGATCGTGGAATTATCACGTCATCTTTGTCCAAGTCACGTCTTGCACCCTATTAAACTACAAAACAATCTCTTGTAAATTCATTAGTCCAATTTGGTTGTGTTGGTCATCAAACACCAAAATCTAAAGTAAATGGGCATGGGGTCTATTTTCCTTACAATCTCCCTCTTTTTGGTGATTGATGACAACACGACCAAAGCAAGCAAATACTAAAAATTTAGAATTTAAAAATTATCTACTTGCTAGGATGCAATGCAAATGGCAAGTTTATATGATGTTAAAAGATACTACTTGTAAGACTAAAAGATACCACTTGAAAACTTATCTTGCCCTTGCAAATGTCCCCATGTGGTATTATGGATTTAAGCCTTGCTTTTGGTCCTATAAATTCTCCCCATTACATAGACTAATCCATAATCCACTATCATCCCTTTCTCAGACTATAACCACTTGTAGACCATTACCACTTGTAAATTATTATGATCGAGCTTGATCTTATAAATTAATGCTTGCTTTTGGTCCTACAAATTCTCCCCCTTTAGAATCAAACACCGAAAAGGAAGACATTAGTAGCACAAGGGAGGGTCAAACTTTGTGATCCTTTGTATATGGAGTGGAATAGGTCACAAAATTTGACTCTCACATTACATAGACTAAGCTCCCCCTAAATATATGCATACATATGATGGAGAATATAGTTTATGCATAATTGGCAAATTAATGCTCAAGGGAGTTTAATCTATATAATGCACG